TGTGTGTGTGTGTGTGTGTGTGTGTGTGTGTGTGTGTGTGTGTGTGAGAGAGAGAGAGAGAGAGAGAGAGAGAGAGAGAGACAGAGACAGAGAGACAGAGAGACAGAGAGAGAGATTGGAAATTAGGAGAGCTGCAGCATGCTACAAAACCTAAAGAAGACAAAATTTCAGGACAAGTGAAAAGAGGACCCAGAACAATATCCCAAACCAGGAAGAGATGCCTGGAGTGAAAGGTGGAATAATTGAGCTTCAATGCGTACTTGATTAAAGTCCGGGTCTTTCTCTCCATCTGGCTTAGCTTCTTCCTTGTCCTCTTCTGTCTCGGAACTACTCACATTCAACTCCGGAGCTGAGTCTTTCATCACCTGAATGCACGGGGAGCAGAGAGAAGTGTGTCAGGCCCTGGGGGAGCATGCGGTAGGGTGGGGCTTTGGATCCGTGGGATGTGGTTGGACTGGGAACCAGGACCACCTTCCTTGCTCTTTAACTTCTTGTAGCCTAACCCTGTGGCCTCGCCACCTCTTTCTTCATTCATTTATTTATTTACTTTTCCGAGGTAGGCGTCTCACTATTCTATCTCTCGATGTAGACCAGGCTGGCCTTGAACTCTGCTGGGATTAAAGGTGTGCTTTACACTACAACCTGGCTGAGTTTTATTTTTAATTCTGTATTTGTATTTATTTGTGTGTGTGTGTGTGTGTGTGTGTGTGTGTGTGTGTGTGTGTGTGTGTGTGCTTGCACGCCTCAGATGCAACAAACATCAAATCTCCTAGAACTGGAGTTACAGGTTGTGACATAGAAACTGAGAAGCAGACAGAAAAAAGGCTCTTCTACATAACACCGTAGACACGGCTACTAATTTCAAATTAAACACTGGCTGCTACATAAATGGGCTGAAGGTGAAAAGGTTTAAGGAGGGGAGGGGAGATGCTTATATCATGTTCCTTTTTTCAGCAATGTTTGGAAATAAAGCCTTTTTTTTTTTTTTTTAAATCTGTAAAGTAGAACTCTACACCTTTAATGCATAATTTGGAAGGTAGCATTCTAAAATAATGTGCTTAGTAACTAACTGCCTTTAATTCTCTAAACCCTGGAATCCACGGACAGACTTTCATGCTTTATTCTCAGTCAACAGTGTTCTGAAGTCACACCTTCCAATTTCTCCCGCCCTTCAGACCAATGCTGAAGCCCAGTCTGGCTCTCCCTCTCCTATGCTCCCAACTCTACTACCACCTCGTCTAAAGCCAACAGACAGAGCGATTTAAGATTTATTTATTATGTAAACAGTGTTCTGTCTGCATGTGTGCCTCCACACCAGACAGAAGAGGGTACCAATTTTCACTACAGATGGCTGTGAGCCACCATGTGGTTGCTGGGAATTGAACTCAGAACCTCTGGAAGAGCAGCCAGTGCTCTTAACTACTGAGCTACCTCTCCAGCAAAACAGCAATTTTTTTAAACGAGAAGTCAGACACACTGGAAATTCTCCTACTCTTTTCAACTGTCCAAGTGCAACTCTTACTGGGCAGATTTGATGGCCTACCTTTCCTAGTCATTGCCACAAGAACTGGTACCTTTTTGTTGTCCACAACTTTGTGGACATAGATGGTAGCTTGGGTATATTCTCGAAGGTCCCTCTGCTGCTGGCATAGCAGGCCTTCTCTGCAATCTGGACAGAGATCTAGAAAAGAGTAGAGCAGAAGCAACCCACATCAGGAACTACACATTGTATTCAGTAATTGATGTGCTGGGCTGCATGCAAATGATGAGGAAATCTGTGTACTGTCTGTAACTAAATGTTCAGATGATGACAGCTCACAAGTCTGCCAGAAGCATCTGAGCTGCTCTATAATAGTCAACATTAATTGAGTACTGATGGACCCTCCCCTTCCCCCTTTGAAACTGTCAACATTTAATGAAAGAAACCAAAAGCAATATGAAAACTTACTAGGCTCAGAAATATACTGTGTTTCAGAAGAGTCTCCCACTTGAATTCTTGTGATTTTAATTACTTTATCCACAACAAAGAGCTTTTGAATCATTTGCCATTCACTGGGCCATATGAGAGCTATACTGTGCAAAAAAAAAACAAACAAAAAACAAAAAACAAAAACCAAATATGCCTTAAGACACGAGGAGATTGATAGAGCAAAGACCCTACAACAAAATCAATACCACCGACAATTTACAGCAAATTAACAGGAGGGGAAACTCATCAAATCCAGTGGTACTTTATGAACAGGTTTGATATGAATCAACACTCATAAGCTGAATAAAAGTCAGACACAGAAGAATATGTACAGGATAAAGCCGTCTATAGAAAACGCATTAAATATACAATATAATTAAAAGTGCAATACATTCAACTTTGCACACATTAATCCTGGTTTGAGTTTAAGCCAAAGTCTCAAGATGTGGCTGAGGTTGGCCCAGAAATTATGATTGTCCTGCCTACGTTTCAGTATGCATCTTTTAATAGGATGATGTTCTGAGACAGAGGACTAAATTTTGATAATAGTTACTGCAAGACAGAAAGAGAAGAAAATGGCAATAAGAAAGAAGGAAATGAAGTACTTAGGGCCTTGAAATTGTACTTGAGTTTTCTAATTGATTGCTGGATTATGGTTATGCACCACCACACCTGGATGATGTAGTGCTGGGTATCATCCCAGTTTCTGCCATGTGCTACACCAGCACTCTAGTGACTCAGCTCCATCCCCAGCTAAAAACATACAGTTTCTAAATGTCTAATGGTCATAATTGGCAACACAGTAACAGAAGGAGTGAGTTCCTTTAAATGACCTTCAAACATTTAAATATATATATGGAAACTATAGTCCAGCATCATCCCAGGGGATTTTTTAATTCTGATATTTACTTATTATGTGCTGCAGGGGGCCAGCCTCCTTCTCTTCTCTCTAAAGGTTGACAGCTGTAGAAAAAGACAACTATTAGGTGTGTGCAAAAGCAACTACGGTTTTTGCATTGCTGAAACTGCCATTTGATATGAGGAAACATTTTTAATTAATGTGGTAATGTCATACATCATTTGAATGTACATTTCTTCACTTTGTATTTTGCTAATGACTTGTTATCAATTTTATGTTTATTTTATACTATGGAAATGATGTTACACAAAAAAACAAACTCAAGCAATTTTCTTTTTATGGGTCCTAAAGCACCAGAGAAAACTTCCAATAATAAAACATAGCATTTGTTCAACGAACTGCTAAGAACGTACAGTGCAGTGGAAATTCAAAAGGAATTAAGAGCCCTGAAAGTGAGTACAGTAGCTGGCTGTCGGTTGTTGACAAGGAAGGACTCACTCACTGAGGTTGACCCTTCTGAGTAGTCAGAAGATGCCAAAGAATTCAATGAACTCAGTGTGGACTATTATTCTGCTATTTGAAGCAAACTGGAAAGTTGAAAAGGCTGGGTGATTGGGTGCCTTGTAAAGAGGGAGTGGGGGTGGGGGGGATGAGTGACTTTGTATTATTCTATCTTATTTTATGCAATGAAGATTCATTTCTCAATCCAATTGTGATGTGCAACAAAATGTGGACTGTTTATGACAATTAGTAACAACCAGTTCAATGGCTAGTCTGAGAAATTTCAAAGCAAAATCTGCACTAAAAAGTCTGGTCACTGATGTCTGGTGCTGGTCTGATCCACTGCAGCTTCTGAATGCTGACAAAACCATCAGAACACACTCAGCAAATCAATGAGACCCACCAACAACTGCTGCTGCAACACCCACAGCCAGGATCAGTCAACAGAAAGGGCCGAGCTATCCATAATCCCAACCACACAACTTCAAAAGCTCAATCAACAAACAGGGCCGGCATCCAACAATTTCAACTGATTTCTGGCCGAATGACTCCCACTCTCTTTCATGCACCTTCACTTTTGTGGCAAAGAAACCCTTCCACTACCAGTAGGATGCAGAAAATGCTTTCTAAGAGTAAATTAAATCCTGAAGCACAGAGTTTTAGACTACTGGAAGACTTCTCATTGGTAAAAAACATTTGTAATAGTTCCTAAATAGATTAATAAAGATGTTAATAAAGATTAATTTCAGTCTGAAACTGCAATTCCTTTTGCACGAACCTAATACAACCAAGACTTCGCTGATTATGTAACTGGGAATGAAGTTGATATTGAGACTGTCTGACCGCTGGAAACCAGCAAAGGAAAAGGTCCAGGCAACAGGCTGATAGCGGGAGAATAAAGGACATGGACAAACTTCCCCGGGTGGCTGCGTATCCTGCCTGAAAAAGTTGTCATTTTAAAGACAAGTGTCCAGTCATAGGTCACATTTAGAAGGAATACAGTGAAGTAGTTCAGCACATTCCCAACAGACTTCCACGCTAGACAAGAACCCCCTAACCACACTTTATTACTGGGGACAGACAGCCACGCCAAGAGAAGAAACTCACAGTTTCGAATCTTCTTTGGTGAGGGAAGGAAATGTAAACATGAGTCCTCCATGCGGACACAGAAGGGCAGTGTTTCCAATGGATGACACAGGAGTAGACCTTGCAGGCTTTCTATTTAAACAAGACAGGAGGTAAATGAAGAGATATCTTTATTATTTATTTATTTATTTATTTGTTTGTTTGTTTATTTCTCTCTCTCTCTTTTTTTGGTATTTGTTTTTTGAGACAGGGTCTTACTATTTAATTTTGGCTGGCCTGGAATTTTGTAGACAAGGCCTGACTTGCCTCAAAATCAGAGATTTCCCTGCCCTATCTCCCAAGTGTTGGGATTTCTGTACCACCATGCCTGGAGAGATATTAATTTGGGGGGAAAAGTTTTCATGTGTGCATGGGGGTGAAGATAACATGCTTCATATGTGGACAGGAACATGTGTGTAACTGGTACTCCTCCTCAGTGTGTGAAAACCCAAGGCTGATATCAGGAAGTCTTCACAACTTTCCCCTAGCCTCACCTATATGGTCTGGTCAACTAGCAAACTGACTCTGGAGACACCCAGGCTCTGCCTTCTGAGAATTGCATTACAGATGGGCCTCCATTTGCTTGGATTCAGCAAATCAAAGACTTAGGCCATATGTTCTTATGCCGTGTATTTCCATAGACAGCAACATTTTATTTATTTAGGGTCTCACTGTGTAGCTCTGGCTGTCCTGGAACTCACACTTTAGGCCAGACTGTCCTCAGACTCAGAGATCCGCTGCCTCTGCCTCCCAAGTGCTGGGACTAAAAGCTTGCACCACTACACCAGGCTCCACAGCGTTTCTGTTAAATAATAATTTTAATCTAGAGATACATATAAATGGATATTACTAATTAATGTTTTGGGTTTAGTTATGTACCTTGATTCAAAAGGAAAATCTGTGTATGCCAGGAAAAAGTAATCAAGAACGCACCATGAAGAGAACCCACGCAAATTTCAAAATGACCAGAGTCAACCCACAGAGAGGTAAGAAAGAAATTTCTATTTCTACCTAACAAACTTGCGCCATTCATCTAGAAAGAAGTGTGACACAATATAGAGAACGTCCGTATCCTGGAAACAAAAAGAAAAAACACAATGGGTTACTTTCATCTTCACCCCTCCCCCTGAAACTTAAGGGGATTTTCTCTTTCAAATTCAAATCATCCTGGAACTCACTAAGTAGCACAGGTTCGTTCTCTCCTCAAACTCAGAATCACAATTTTCCTGCAGCCTCCCATGCAGCTGGAGCTACCATACCCAGGGTGAAGCACACTGTTTTCAACACAAAGCCCTTGTGGATTTAATAGTGTTTCCCCCATTAAAGTTGTGCAATAAAATGGAAATGGTGAGCTGGTGTATCTCCCAATTAGGAAACAAACTGAACAGAACAGAGCTGGGATGCTCTGAGACACATTTGACTGAGGCCTTTAGAGTTGTGGGACTTTTTTTCCTCTCTGTGGCAATCACGGTACCTCTGGCCAGTTACTGAGACACGGTCTGTTTTTGTCCTGGAACAAATTCGGGAGTGAGGTCTTCTGTTCGTTTGCGATCATTTTATGTAAGGCTTCATTTTCTTCCCCTTCTCGTTCCAAAATCTGAAAACATGGAAGCAATACAGCAGGTTTCCCCCCACGTACACACACCCCTATACACACACACCCCTATACACACACACCCCTATACACACACACACACACACACACACACACACACACACGTTCCCAAGGAGGAGCATGCCATTCCCACAGATGTCAGGGCCGTGTACCTTGCATTGTGAGCAGCACTCTTTGTAACTTGGGAACTCAGGAGCCTTTGGGAAGTACTGCCGCAGTTTGCTCCAAGCCTCTTGAGAAACGAGCCTCCTTTCATTTTCAGATATGCTTAACCCCCCTAAATTAAGAGAAAAAATTTACTTAAAAACAAGGATAAAAGTCCACATCTATTTCTTAAACATTTTAAAAGTATATATTACTTATTTATTTATGTGTGTGCCTGTGTGGATGTGCCATAGCACATGTGTACAGATCACAAAAACTTACAGGAGTCAGTTCTCTACTTCTACCTTGTGGGTCTTTGGGGTCAGGCTCAATCCCAAGCACCTTTGCTCAGAGCCACATCCTTCTCTAATCCCTGTTCTCTATCCTCTGGAGAGTAAGTGCTCTTTTCCTTTTGCTTAGAAACCTTTGGTTCATTTGAGTTTCAGCACTGGCTCCAGCTGCACTGCCAGCATGAGCACACACAGGCTAACACACATGCTAAATGTTTAATTTCATTGTTCTTCAGGCTGCCACCCACTTTAGGATCTGAGCCACTCCCTCACCCCCCACAGGGGTTAGGAGCACTTCAGCTTCACCCACACACAAAGCTCCTAATTCCCTTAAAAGACTTTGCTTGACTTCTAAAAGCATCTTGCAATGTATGGACCTCAGACTTCTCTCTTTAAATTAAAGTTAAGCAATAAGGCAATATCCTGACTAGTCTACACCCTTGCCATTCAACCTCCGACCCTGATCCCTATGTGCAATTGGTTTGGGCTTTTTTTTTTTTTTTTTTTTTTACATTTTCTTTTATGTGTTTGGCTGCTTTGCCTGCATCTATGTCTGTGCACACATGGGTGCCTGATGCCGATGGAAGGCAGAAGAAGGCAATCAGTGCTCTTAACCTCTGAGCTATCTCTCCGACCCATCTGGCTTCCTTGGAGCAAGATGTTATCCATGTGACTCAGGATGGCCCTTTAACTTCCTGTGCTGGGATGACAGGTGTGGGATATCGCTCATCCTGCAATTACTTTTGAAAAATCCTCCAGATGTTCAAATATCAAAAGGACAAGGGAAGAATACTGGACATGGCCACTCTGCCATTACCCTGATGTCAGGAGGGCTATGATCAGAACCACAGTAATTTCAGTGAGCCTCCTGGTTTTACTGTTCATTCACATACAGTCACCTTATCAGGGACATTTCCCGGACTTACTTGTTTTGTTTTGTTTTGTTTCCAGATATTTCAAAGTACAACAAGAGTGAAGCGGGATGACTGACATGGGTCTCACTCAGAAACTCACATGAAAGCTGCTTTCACACCCAGTCACCAGGCGCCTACAGATGTGTTTGTTACCAGCAATGCAGCCACATTCAGTCAAGAGGGGAATGCACTGGAGCAGCACAGCACTGAGTAACAAAGCTGTCTTTGCCATGCCCAGGACTAATAACACAAAAGTAATCTTTTTGAAGTAACTCTACCCCTCCATGCTTCTGGTCCTTTGAATATCTCAAGGAATATCTTAAGCAAAGTGTGGCCAGGCAGATCTCTGAGTTCAAGGCCAGACTGGTCTACAGAGCAAGATCCAAGACAGGCACCAAAGCTACACAGAGAAACCCTGTGGGGGTGGGGAGCATGTAGTAGTGAACTCCTGTACGAGTATAACATGGGGGTTGATAGTCTACACCTTTAATCCCAGCACTCAGGAAGCAGAAGCAGGTGGATCTCTGAGTTCCAGGCCAGCCTGGCCTACAGACTGAGTTCAAGGACAGCCAGGGTTACACTGAGAAACCCTAGCAAAACACAAAACAAAACAAAGCAAAACACAAAAGTATAATAAGCTGGGCTGGAGACAGGTTAGGAGACTACTCTTCCAGAGGTCCTGAGTTCACTTCCCAGCACCCTCATGGTGATTCACAACATCTGAGGAGGACAAAGGCTCAAGGTCAGCCTCTGCTACAGCACTGTCTGGAGGTGGTAGCAGGCAAGTCCTCTTCTAAAGTTCACCCTCCTCCAACCTGGCCCCTGGTCTTCCTCTCTGTCCCTGCTGCAGATCCAGGAACAACTACACAGGATATACACAATATAGTAAGTTGGCAAAAAGTCAGAAGTAACCAGAAGGACAGGAAAAGACCAATGAGCAGACATGTGACATGTAAGCCTGCCAACCTGAGTTCCACCTTGGAAATCGTGTAAAGGCTGAAGGAAAGAGCCAACTTTATGAAGCTGCCTTCTAACTTATGCAGAAGCGTGCCCCACTTCATAATAAATAAAGTTTACAAAGCTAAGAACAAGGACCCAGAACCAGGGAGGAGCACTTAGCGGTTAAAAGAATGTACTGTTCTTGCAGAGGGCTGGAGTTTGATTCCCAGCATGAACATCAGGCAGCTTAACCACCTGTGACTCCATCTCCAAGAGCTCCAATGCTCTGGCCTCTGTGGACACCAGCACTTTAACACAGACACGTGTTAAAAATAACATAAAGGGGGCTGGAGAGATGGCTCAGTGGTTAAGAGCATTGGCTGTTCTTCCAGAGGACCTGAGTTCAATTCCTAGCACCCACATGGTGGCTCACAACCATCTGTAATGAGATCTGGTGCCCTCTTCTGGCCTCAGGCATATATGAAGAGCACTCATACATAAAATATAAATAAATAAAATAACATAAAACCGCAACAGGATTTACTATGCTATAGAACTGCCTCAAAAGATCTGGTGGGGGCCCCCAGAGGCTGAGACGGGATTTAAAACCCAGTCTAGCCTGCTATAGCTGAGTCATGGGGATTAACTTCAGTTTAACCCGACCCACAGCTATTGAGCTTTCTCAATAAGGGAGGAAGGGAAGGAGACAGAGAGAGAGGGAAGGAAGGAACTGAACCTATGGCACTGACTTGGTTGCCTTAGAACTTGTTATGTGGACCAGGATGGCCTCTATCTAATAGAGAAGATCTCCCTCTGCCTCCTGAACGCTGAATGCTGAGATTAAAGGGATGCTCTACCACATCCAGCAAAAGAAAAAGCCAACCCACCCCGTACCCCACAAGCACATGTAATTCAGCTCTGTAAACACTGACAGATACAGACACTCTCTAAGTTCAATGTAAGCTTATAGTACAAAGAATGAGTCTTTTTCAAAAATAAGCAGAAAATTACACAACACTATTAATCTCCGAGGTAGTTAGTTCTTAGCTTCCTGTGTCTCATAGACAATGAATGTCCTCCTCTAACTGCACATATAAAACCAAAGCCACAGAGTTGACATGATCAAGTCCTTGGCCCTGAGGGTGAAGAGCTGAACACAGGTGAGCCCTCTTCCTGCATACAGTCCCCCAACAACGAACACAGGTCTGCACTTCCAGGTAAGGGAAAGAACTTCCAGAGCACAAGCTCTGCCAATGAATGTACTGGGACCACACCAACGCAAGAGTACTGAGCACCTGAAAACACTACAACAGAGGGCCAAAGCTACCTAATAAAAGTGCATAGCGTCCTGGAAGCTAGAACGAGCTCTGAAATATCTATAAAAAGAATCTTCAGAAGGTGTGCCGGCATATACCTATAATCCTAGCACTTGGGAAACAGGCAGAAAAATTCCAACCTGGACTACATAATGAAACCCAAACAGACCTTTAGGAAAAGGGTAGAACAAAACATGACAGGAGCTGATGCCAAACGGACAATAGACGTGAGCTTCCAGCTTACCATGAGGACACAGGATGTCTTCATTAAAATTTAATTCCTCCTCCTCTTCTTTCTTTTCTTCCTTTGATTCATCTAATCAAAAGAAAGAGACAATTACAGCTCTGGCTGTTGTAGTTAGAAGTTCAAAGCAGTAGAGTTCTACTTGAAACTTGAAATAAGTCTGAAAAATCAACCCAACTGAGACTTCTACAGCTGTGCAGAGAAGGACTATGCTTCCTTTCCCTTAAAAGGGAAAGAGGAAAACCTGAGTGACAGTTAATGATTTTGAAGAGTTGTTGTGTAGTAAACCTACACAACAACAGCCTACACTGTAATCCCAGCACTGGGGACAGTGGAGGTGAAAAGATTAGGGACAGCTTGACCTGTGTGGGAATTTGTCTCTGTGGAGCCCTCGCTGTCCTGGACCTAGCTCTGTAGACCAAGCTGGCCTCAAACTCATGGAGATCCGCCTGACTCTGCCTCCCGAGTGCTGGGATCACAGGTGTGCGCCACCACCGATCAGCTAAAAAGGGAAGGAAGTTGTCTTTAGAAAGAAAAAAGTAAAAGAAATAACAGAAAAGAAAAGAGAGTCACACTTAGGAGCCAGAAGGCAGGTAGATCTGAGTTCAAGTCCAGCCTCATCTGCAGAGTGATTTCCAGGTCGGCCAGAGCGACACAGAGAAACTCTGTCTGGAAAATCAAAACCATCTGAAATTGACACATCCTATTAGTTCTCGTCAAGTGCCTTCTACATGTCATGTGTCATTTTCATCTCCCACCTTAGGGGTTGGACAGAAACTTTAATAGAAGTATGGATGTGATGTTTAGGAAGTCTCTTACTGTCAACACCTCCCTGTCCTTGCCTGTCTACACTGTCACTACATAAGTCTTTGATAAATAAACATTTGGAGACTGGTTTCTCAAAATGGCTTTTTAGCACACTCAGTCTACATAAAGAACATTTATTGCCAAGTGTGGAGGTGCACACCTATGATCTCACTACTTGGGAGGGGAAGGCAGGAGGGCTCTAAGTCTAGTGTCAGCCTGGGATATGTGGCTCCCCATTGAAGTGGAGATGTTACAAGTTATTTAAAATGCTTAAACAGTAAGTGTCATACAATAGTAGACCACTTACTCAGCATGTGCAAGGCTCTGAGTTTGATTCCCAGCGAGTCAAAACAACAGAACAGAGCCGGGCAGTGGTGGCGCACGCCTTTAATCCCAGCACTCAGGAGGCAGAGGCAGGCAGATCTCTGAGTTCTAGGCCAGCCTGGGCTACCAAGTGAGTTCCAGGAAAAGCGCAAAGCTACACAGAGAAACCCTGTCTTGAAAAACCAAAAGAAAAAAGAAAAAAGAAAGAAAATGGTGTGTGCTAAGTCATGTGACAGCAAGGGTTTTCAAATGATGGGAGCACACAACTGAAATCAATGCTCCGCCCTTGAGTCACAGAGAACAATCTTTCCGAATTAAATTTTATGTACATGGGTGGGTGTTTGCCTACATATCTGAATGCCCACATGCAGGCTTGCTGCCAAGGAAGTCAGAAGAGGGCATCAGATGCCCTAGGACTGGAGGTGACAGACAGTTGTAAGCTACTGTGTGGGTGCTAGGACTTGAACCCAGATCCTCTGGAAGAGAAGCCACTGTTCTAACTACTGAACCATCTCTCCAGACCAACAGATTATTTGAAACAAAAGAAAAACTGCAGATCATGGTGGGGCACCTACAGTCATGCACTTGGAAGTCAGAGGCAATCTTTGTCAGTTAGAGACCAGCCTGGTGTATAGTAAGTTCCAGGTCAAACAGGGCTACAGTCAAACTATCAAGAAAAAGAAAAGAAAATCTAAAACTTGAAAATACACAGCCCAAGAGAATGGAAATACAGCTAAGCAGTAGACAGCATGCTCAGTGTGGGTGAGCTTTGTCCCTCCACCCATTCAAGACAGGGCTGGAGCACCTCTCTAAAAGGAGCATCACTTGGAAATCCCATGGTAAGTTTAAGAAATATATATATAAGCTGTAATGCATAGCCAGGCACAGTGCCTATCTGTAACTACAGCAGTAGAGTGAGGCAGGAAGTCCCATGCCAGCCGGTGGTATATAGTGAGTGTGACAGTCTGACTAAAAAAAAAAAGGGGGGGGGGATGGATACCACACATCAGCAGATGTGGCAGGGCAGCCCTGTAATCCCAGCCCTGGGGATTAACTTCATCAGAAGTTAAAGGTCATGCTCAACTTTACAGTTGACAGCAGCTTGGGCTACATAAGACCTTACCTGTAAAAAAATTAAAAAATACATGATTTCAACAAAGTTTAAAAATTTGAAATAAAGCCAGGCAGTGGTGGTGCACGTCTTTAATCTTGAGAGGAAGAGGCAGGCGGATTTCAGTGAGTTCCAGGACAGCCAGGGCTACACAGAGAAACACTGTCTCAAAACAACAACAACAACAACAATGCAAGTATGCAAATGTCAGTGTCTGGGAATAAAATCAATAGAACTGTAGGGTGGTGCAGAGGGACTCGCCTAGCTCGTGTGAGGCCTGGGTTCCAGGTCCAGTAGTGTAAAATAACAACACCGGGTGTAGGTATGTGAAAATAACTATTCACCATCACTAACTACACCGCACTACTGAGCCCAACTAACCTCAAATTAGTAACAGACAGAATCACAGGTCTTCCGACATTCTAAATGCTCTAATTTCCTTTGGTATCTGTTTTCTGGTAAGTGTACACTAACGTGATTTCCTGTCTGAAAGCAGGGCTTAAAAAGAATGGACTAGCAATAAGCTGTCCAAATCCTGCCCTCCTTGAGGCAGTGCAGAGGTCACATGGTCAATGGCTGCCATCGTAAAGCTCAGCAGCCTGCAGGTTTCTGGAGCCCATTATCCTCCTTTGAGGCTGGAGCAGAACTGACATGAACCCTGCACGTGACTAGCTAGGTGGCACCTGAGCCCAGAGCTCATTGCTATAAAGGAGACGCCCCCGGGAATCTCAAAAGCTTGAACATCTATTATTTGCCCTTAGCTGTTTCTGAGACCTTGAGACTTCTTAAATGTCTTAACATACATGGGCATAAATTTTTATTAAGGCAATTTAACTGAAAATGAAAGTTGAAGAGCTGGGACCTAGTGGTTCCCACAGAGATCATGAGCAGGCAGAGGACTGGTCCTCTGCCACAGGCTCCTCATCAGGCACCCCAAAATGGTGGGGACCACAGTGCTGCTTTGCCATGGAGACTCGTTGGAAGTCTGCAAGCACACATGAATCCCCATGTTCAAGAAAAGGCTAGGCACACAAATCTGCAGTGCACAGACAGCAGCTGCTGAGGTGGTGGGAGGCACCCTGTGGACAGAGAGCAAAGCCCCCCCACCCCACCCCCAACACACAAACTGAAAAGGCTCTAACTCTGCAAGTGGGCGCCCCCCTCACCTTTATTGAAGGGGCTCCCGTTCATCTTCCCGTTGCTTTGCTCCGCCTCACCATCTTGCTCATCTAGTTGTTCAAGAGCCAGCTGGCGCCAGCTGCGTAAAGACGACTTTCCCACCCAGAATCCATCATTGCTGCGGAAAGAGAGAATGGTAAACCCTAGCAGCTGATTCCCAGTGTTCCCTCCTTTTCTGTCTTTCCCCTGGAGCTCACAACTAAAATGACATAAACACTCTAACCAACTACTGTGCACACAGCTGTTTCTAATCCAACTCCTGATCGGACCACTTTCAGGCCTCACTGCTGAACTGCAGGTGTCTAAAACTTGGTTGCCATTTTAAATCTGGCTCTTTCTCGAGTCCATCAAATCCACTCCAATCACATCCAACCTTCTTCTATGTGATTAATGCTCTCAGCACACAGAGCTGAACCTTCAAGTTGGCACAGAGACACTTGGGTATGTATATACACCGGTACTGATCTCATACACATATATACTCAGGCCACAGAGCAGGCCTTGAAGAATGGGCCCAAGGCGAGAGCAGGCTTAGGTCTGCTGGGGAAATACTAATAGGAACAAAGGACCTGAGCACAGCAAGTGCCATCACTTAATGACTCTTGGTTGAGGTGCTCTGTGGAGTGGGGTTCCACTCCACAGACTTCCAACACCCTGCATCCCTCTCAACATCCAACATCCCTTCTCAACATCCAACATCCCTTTTCAACATCCCTCATCCTTGTAGAGTATGCACTACAAAATTTAGTTGTGTTTTTAAAAAAAAAAATTCTAGGGCTGGAGAAATGGCTCAGAGGTTAAGAACACTGACTTCTCTTCCAGAGGTCCTGAGTTCAATTCCCAGCAACCACATGGTGGCTCACAACCATCTGTAATGAGATCTAGTGCCCTCTTCTGGCCTGCAGACATACATGTATGCATAATAAATAAATAAATCTTAAAAAAAAAAAAAACTTAAAAAAAAAAATTCTAATTTAGCTGGGCAATGGTGGCACATGCCTTTAATTCTAACACTTGGAGGCAGAGGCAGTTTGAGGCCAGCCTGGTCTACAGAGAATTCCAGGACAGCCAGAGTTATACAGAGAAACCCTGTCTCAAACAAAACAAAATTCTAGTTTAAGGGCTGGAAAGATGGCTCAGTGGTTAAGATCACTGGCTGTATTCTCAGAGGGCCTGAGTTTGATGGCGAGCACCCATATGGTGACTCACAACTGTACTCTATTCCCCAGGGTTCCAATGTCTGTTTGTAGCCTCTGTGGGCAACAGGCACACACAAGATCTACATGCAGACAAAACACCTACACACAAATAAAAGTTTTTAAATTACACTAAGAAATGTGTATATAGTGTGTTTTGGAATGTTTAAGGGTGCACAGGAGGTACATGTGCACATGTGTGTTTAGAGGTACAAAGTCAGGGGTCTTCCTCTTTATTTTCTGAGGAAGGGTCTCTTTACCCAGAGCTCAAAGGGTCCAGCTTGTCTCTGCCTCTTGGGACGATCATAACTCCGTATGTGAGTATTAAGGATCTGAACTCATCTTCACATTATCAAGGCAAGCCCATTCTCCACAAGGCCATCTCCCCAGCCACAGTCCTGTACTCGGCAGTGAAAACATTTGCGGCCAAGCATGGCAGGCATCTGAGTTATCCCTCAGAAACACTACCTGAAAGTTGTGCTTGCACGTCTACACGTTTCCTTCACGTGCACACAAGTCCACAAACAATGAACAGACACATATACACACAGAAAAGAATGCAGCCCAGGATAGCCTCTAACGTGCTAGGAATACAATGTGAGCCGTGTTCGCAGTATAAGTTTTACTTGCGAACTACTCTGCTATCCACCTTCCAATAGCCAACTCGGGATGAGTCCGCAGCCGCCTGACCACTGCCTGGCAATGTTAGAGGCTCTCGTGAACAGCGGGCTGTGTAACATACCCCTTCATTGTTACTTTCAGCAAATTGTTGACGGTTTTGTAGTCTTCATTCAGTTGGCTCTTCAGGCGCAGTACACGACAGCGTTCTACAACACAGTCCTTACACAGGGCTTTCACTAAAGGCAAAAAAGACATCAAAAATAAGCAGACTTTCTATGAGAATGTTTCCAGTATTGAACAAAATACACAAGAATTTAACAACAGCCCTGGCTAGGCTCGAACTCATTTTGTAGACAAGGCTGGTCTCAAACTCAGAGCTCTGCCTGCCTCTGGAGTGCTAGGATTAAAGGTGTGTGTTACCGCACCTGGCAAAAACACAAATTTTTACAATACAGTCTTTTATATATATCCGGATTTTGCTGATCCAGACACCCATACATTGTTTCCTCTATAATGAAGACTATAGTAAACAACAGCATAAAGTACTGTGTATCACTACATTGCTTGTGAAGTTCCTTGAGGGAATCTGACTAGAGGGAGGGTCCACATACATATCTGACACTGTACAAGTGATGGTCTTCATGTGGACAGGACCTTCGAAGCACAGAACACTAAAGAGATGAGAGCAATAGAGGACATAACAAGAGCATAGAGGTCCTAGAAATCACATGCCATGTTATTATTTTCTGTTTAAATTTCACTTATTGCTACTGTGGGTATATAATACATTTGCACAGGCATGTGCCACCGTGCACATCTGAGGACTACATGGAGTTGGTTCTCTTCCATCACAGGGAATCATTCAGGTCAACGCCTTTGCACCGGTCTTAAAATGTGATTCTTTGAAAGAGCTTGTGGGGACTGGAGAGATGGCTCAGTGGTTAAGAGCACTTGTTCTTGCAGAGACCCTAGTTCAATTTCCAGCACCCACATGGTGGCTCACATTCATAACATTCATAACTCCAGTTCCAGGGTTTTTGATGCCCTCTTCTGCCCTCCTTGGCACCAGACACACACGGTACACACAGACACACATGCAGCTAAATACTCATAAGAAGATTTAGTCATGCAGTAGTGGCATAAATCTCTACCTTGGGAGGTAGAGGCAGAGGCAGGTGAAATTCTGGCTTCTTCAGAGTCAGTCTAGTCTACAAAGTGGGTCCCAGGACAGCCATGGATACACAGAAAAATCCTGACTGGAACCCTGCTAATCCCATCCCACACACACAAACACACACCCAAAAAAAAAAATTAAAATAGCTTCCTGGGCGCTGGAGAGATGGCTAAGAGGTTAAGAGCACTGACTGTTCTTCCAGAGGTCCTGAATTCAATTCCCAGCAACCACATGGTGGCTCACAACCCTCTGTAATGAGATCTGGTGCCCTCTTCTGGCCTGCAGTCATACACGCGGTATACATAATAAATAAATCTTTGAAGAAAAAAAAGAAAGAAAGAAAGAAAGAAAGAAAGAAAGAAAGAAAGAAAGAAAGAAAGAAAGAAAGAAAGAAAGAAAGAAAGAAAGAAA